ACCAAAAATATGTCTTTGGCTCAATTGGTTACGAAGTCACGGTATGCCACACACTTAGAAACCTGTGAAAAGCTGGCTGAATACGTTTTCCACGTGTTATGTGTAACGCTATGGTGATAAAATGGGTAAAACCTGCTTTACTTAAACCTATGTATCTCATAGCCCTTTCATTCAAATAATGTTCTGAAAACGGCACTAGAAATAAAATGACACATTCTACTGTTTATCTAAGTAACTTATCCACCTCAACGATAAATAAAAGCGCCAAACTTGATACACAGTATCACATATAAATTGTCCGGAATTCACAGATTATTTACACGCGTTTTGTGAGAAAACTACGCGTCGGGGGAGGAAAAAGCAATGCATCACTTCGATGTAAAATTTTAAGGTGCATCTAATACTTTCGTTGATTTTTCGAGTTTTGGAAAAAACGTGTAGTTCATTATTTTTTGGAGATTTGTACGTTTTAAAAGACACGTTATCAACCGACCTGAAATCTAAGTGCAGATTTGAGCTCAACGCATCAAGATATACTAGAAACAATGTTTCAACTTACTTCATAACTTTTTTGGGTTTTTGACCCTAGCTCGACCAAATTTCGACGGATTTCAAAATTTAAAAAAATAGAAGATGTGTCTTGACGCGGGACATCGTTCTCTTTGAAGCCAGTAAATCCGTCGAAAAGTATTTTCACAGTACTAATGTGAGTTAAGGTATCGAAGTGTGTTGAAAACAAGAGCTCATAATAGGTGAACGGAGATATAGGATTGTATGCACTTGCCGATTTCGGCCCCCCAAATATTTTTCCTGGGGGTTAACCGAACTTTGAAGGGGTGTCTAGGGCCTAACTAAGCGAGTTATTGAACGTGTCAAAAGATGGGAAGTCTGACTTAGCGGGAAAATAATAAAGAGATGAAGAAATGATTTTTGACCAAAATGACTTTTTTGAAAAAAATCCCACTCAAAAAGCTTTTGAGATGGGGTTTTGAGTATAAATGAAGTTGTAGAGAATTGATGGGGCTACATTTTTCTAGGTTGGTTCATGACCCCAGGTCAACAGGAAGTGATTTCAAATGACCCCGGAAAACGAGGATATATTTGTCGCATTGCCTTTCTGGACGAGGATACATTTCGCGCATAAAGGGATACATTTGCCGCAATGGTTTAAGTTTGAACAAATAAGAACAGAATGGCACTATGCGTTCCTTCCGGCATAAATCGTTGTCACTCGTGACACCGAGCATTTTCACATAGGATAAAGGAAATAGTGTGTCACCGACAAAGTCCAGGCAAAAGGATGCAGTCATTTCGAAAGAGTTGGATGCGCTTGTAAGAATGACGACTGTTTTGGTTGGGTTCATCGTAAGGAAATTAGCGGTGAAATAGGATTTGACCGTCTGCAAGTTTTCTTCATGCCGGGATTTAATGCTACCTGGCTGGTCAGGGTGACGAGAGCCAAGAAATTGAGCCTCGTCAGCAGATGGTACCAAAGGACCACGTGGGAGGTGGGCAGGATGATCCTTTGTGCCAAGATCCTAGCAGGAAAAGCGCCGAATGTAGCCTTGTGAGACGCGATGGAATGGGCAGAGGGAGAAGGAGCCGCTTCTCATTTTTGCTTCCGGTCAGCAAGGTAGCTAGGTTCCGGTCAAGTGGGGCTGACGCCGTGCCATTGTAGCATGCGTAGCATAGTTCATTCATCGGCAATATTTTCAAACACACGCTTAAAGCAGCCCACGTGACCACAACGAGGTGGCCTTTGTCAACTGGATGGGCGATCCATACCACCATGTCAACCAGAGCATCTTGCGTTGATTGGCCGGGTCTTCAAGTGAGGTTGATAAAGCATTGTTGGTAACGAGATAAGGGGACTGCATGCATACACACGACTTTTTCATGTATTTTGGCTGCGCCGGCAAAATGGGAGATGTCTTAATTTGCTAGCTGTAATGACCCACATTTGTGAAAAGGGAGAACAGGTGTCACTTTCCAACAATGCGAGGACAAGCCTAACACGATAGACGAGTTGATAACATGACGATAATGAGGCCCGGAAACTGAAATCCTAGATGACAGCAAGGGAGTTGCGGTGACGTAATGGAATGAAGCTCCAATCGTTTGCTGGGGCGTACAGTGGTCTGGGTGGGAGGGGGGGGGGGGGGGGGCGGCCTCTCAGGCGCTCCACGGCCAGCCCATCGGCGACGCATGGACCGACAGATGCAAACTGTTGGTCTGCGCCATCGACCTTGTCAGGTGATGGCCATTTGGCAGCTGTCGAATCAGTCCTGAAGTAACCTCGTCAGCTCGGTGTTCGTTTCCATTGCAGCGTTTTTCATTCCGCGCAAAGTCCGTGGGCAAGATGGTCCTGTTTGCTCTTGTTAATTGCTGAACCGAAGCTTACATTTTCAACTTAAAAATGTGATTACAAAAATTCAGTTCGGTCCATTGTATGTATAGGCGGAGGGAAGATTAATGTAATCCACAGCATCTCAGTAACGGTCGTCTGTTTATTCTATCCTAATAGCGCAGCGACCTTCTTCACTACATCAGCAGAGCCAATTCCTCTACAGTTCACTCCAGTAGCCTGATTAGGCCAAAAACGGCACTAGAATGTCTGTATTGCAAACTAATCTTCAGAAGCCACAAACACTACTGACGTCGCAGCTTGCCCCGAGGAGCGTGTCGTCACGAGGGCTTATGATTAAGCGATGAGTGAGAGCAGATCGTCGGATCCACGGATCGGAAAGGGGACCTTCCGCCCCGTAGGCGATTACGTCGGCTCCGACGTCGAGCGAGCGGGCTCATCTCGTATGACCGAATAAGCACGACGCAAACCGGCCGGTATTCGACCAGGGCACGTACCGCTCATCCCATCAGCGATGAAAGGGACCGAAATGAAGCTCATAACTCTGGTTTACGAGGTCAGATAGCTTTCTCTGATAGTGGTTGACTTACGCCCGTCTTAGGCAGGGCGGGTCGACTAACGGGTGCCGCGTCAGAGGCGTGGCGACGGTCGGTACAAACACTGAGTCCACAGTCATCACAGCCGGTTACCATGCGAGGCTGCGTGGTCACACAGAGCGGAGGGAGGTAAGTTCCCAGTGGGCTGTCATTCAGACAGGTCTCCGAGAGGTGGTTCTCAATTTGTGCGTCCTTGCAAGTTTGTGACCACTGATTAGACGTAGTGATTTATTACCGATTGACGATCTTGTGACGGAAGCCGGGTTTCAGTTGCCAGGAGTGTGCCTTGTCGGGGCAAACACCACGTCTGGTGAGTGCGGTCAGGAGCCTGGGCATTTCTCCGCGTGTTAGCGACGGGTATGTACCCTTAAGAACAAAACGAACTTCGGGACCCCTCCCTAACCGACAGCTCAGTTCCTACAGCATTCTCTCTCCTACAACCACAGACTATAGTCAACACGCCGTTCAGCCTTAACAGTGTCAACGGGTCGCTGCACATGTCAGCCCGAGGTAACGGAAGACCTGCCTCTGTTCTCACTGACCGATGGGTACGCTAAACGGTTTAACACAACCGCTTGGACGACAAATCACTGGATGGTTCAAGCACCGCTTCAGTGGCTGGCTGTGGTCGGACAGTACGGCACGTCCACCGGGGAGACTGACACCTCTCCAGCGCCTGATTCCAGTAGTCAGACACCGATATTAAGTACGATTGTAGCACACTTTGATCTTGTGCTAGCCATGCAGAAGCGCTCACTGCAGTTTCGTAAGCTTTATTGATATTTCAAAGGCAAAGACACAACCAATCTATGCTCGAGGATAAAACATGCCAGATCAGGCAAGGGCGGGGGGGGGGGGGGGGGGGGAGAAAATGAAACTAACTGAAAAGCTCTTCACCAGCGGCACTTCCATGTCCACAGAACACAACATATAAAATGCACACGGTGCATCTTAAACCTAACCCAAAGAGGTGATCAACACATGTAAGCGCTGCATCAGTAACGTACAGCCATTAGAACATGCCATCAGTTACAGGGCTCAGCACAAAGTGACTGCTAGCAGCCAACAATACGCTACTTGCTGTTGTCCTTTGCGCAACTGCTCATGAAAGACGACATCTGGTCAACTTGATGTTCTTCGTGCCGTCAGTGTGAACCAGAACCGGCACCAAGGTATCCCGGACGGAGTACCAACAGCCCCGCTACCACGCCCTCACCATCCCGTCGGGGGAACACATTCGCTGCCTTGTCCTTCTCCCTACACACGCCGCGCATATCACCCTGAAGATGGCTCCCGGCCACGAGCACGTCTCCCCGCCTCCCCTATCTCAGAGCCCGACGTCGGCCTCACTCGAACGCTGGCGCCTGGGCGCCGCACTCCGCGCACACCACGATCAGCTGTCCGGCCGTCTGCGTGAAGAACAGCTCGGCCTCGCCGCAAAAGGCCTCGTGGCGCGCGACGGCCGCCAGCAGCTGCGCGCGCACGCGGTCCAGGTCGGTGCAGGGCGTGCACACATCCAGCCCGCAGCGGCAGGTCAGCCGCAGGTCGGCGCTCAGGTCGGCGGCCGTCGTCTGGCAGAGCGGGACACGCCAGCCGCTCGCTGAGGAGGTCCTCCGCCGCCTCCGAGAGGGTCAGGTCAGCCTCGGCGGCGCTACACTCCCGCAGCAAGCGCTCCGTCTCTGCCGACGTGAGGTCAGGTCAGGTTAGGTCAGGTCATTTCCAGATACATTGTGTGGAGCTGGAAATATATATGGGGAGTTGATGCGCCCGAAAACGTCTTTATCGGATACGCTTCGCCACACTTTTAGCGCTCTTCGTTTCCCCTACGCAACACTCGAGCCAACCCCAACAAGTGCTCAACTCTGGTCAGCCTCCCACCTTAGTTCAACAGTCGCTTTCAGCTCTAGTCGCCGACACCCCATCCCACTTCCCTCCGCATGGGCGCCCTCTCCTCCGCCTACCCTCGGCGATGATCTCGCGCTCTAGCTGCTCCCACTCGGCCAGCATGAGGTCCTGATCTGAGGCGGCGGCTGGGGCGCCCGGCAGGCCGCCCGCGTCGGTGGCGTCCACCCCGCGCAGACGGCTCAGCAGCCGGTGGCGCCCCTCACGCAGTCGCTCCCGCAGTCGCTGGTGGTGGAACGTCAGTCAAAGGATGCTTGATCGTCATCGGTCAGCCCTGGGTAGCAACCCTGAAATGTTTAATTCCAGATGGTGGATGATAGTGCGCTGCTGGGAGACTTCTTGGACACAAAGGACAGCAAACTGTTTATGGATCATCTCCAAACGCAAGCAGGAACAGTTTTATTAGATTGACATGTCTGCCTGGAAGGAATTCAATGATCATCCATTTTTGGGAGTGATCAATTTCTTATTAATTCAAAATGTGAGATGTTCTTCATGATGAGACCTTAGGTAGATTGAACAGGAATTCGGGCTTAGTGGGCCAACAAATTCAAGCAGACTTTAATAGACTGGATTTTGGAAAACATTGTGTGGTGTTTAGCATACCTGTTTGTGAAGCTCCCTCCAAGGTGGGGTTCCTTTTTTATACATAGCTCTTCTCATGTTCTCTCGAGCACTTGAAAAGTGTGATTCTGGAGAAGCCTGTGACTGAAGAGTGCTGGGAGAAAACATGATTGCTGCAATACAAACATTCTGCTTAATCACAAGACAGTCAGCACATATTAAACATGACTTTCAGATGCTGACTGGCCACTCAAAATAATCACACCATAACAGTGGGCTTAAAAAAACAGAGTGGTCTGCTTTGCTGATAACTTTGGAAACAGCCTGATTAGGGTATTGATCTGTTATCAGGGACAATAGTTTGAGCTCCTTATTTGAGCCTCTCATTAGTCATCAATCACAGCGGTGCTTGAGGGATCTCTTTTACCAGCTATTTTAGTATTTCCAGGGCTTGCATTTGCAGCTTAGTTCATTGGACAAATAATTTATTTTATATTGATATACTTTGTCACAGTCATCACCAACATAGTAATGGCAATCCATGGAGTAGCTAGGATTTCATACCAGGAGGGGCCAAAGCTGACAAAAGGGACTTTCTGCGTAGGCACAGCCAAGGGGAGGGGCTGTTGCGTGGACCTCCCAAGTTCCAAACCCTGCATTTTTCATGTAGCACTACAGATGGCTTCTGATTGACATTGGCATTGCCATGCCACGCATGCCCTTGCCAAGCATCAATGGCAAATTCTCTGATGATTTAGAAGAAATACAGGGAACTCAAATACCAAAAAAAGCAATTGGCCTTTGACTCCCAAGAAGCCCAACAACTTCCATGCTGGTCTGCAAGAAAATGATCCACTGCCCCAGATAGTTGCATAGCATCAGAACACTGAGCCTGGTGCATGCATGTGCTTAACTCATGCCAAGCCAAAATTAACTAAATTTTTAGGTGATTTCCCCCCCCCCCCAAGTTACACAGGCATATTTTAGTCTCAACTGACCATCACAAAATCTTGATTTCATGCACTGGCTCTCCATGCATTGAAAAAGTGGTGGCCATGTGCCAAACTACTGAGTATTCAGTACAATGCACATATACTGCAATTACTGTCAGGATGCTGGTAAATGAACATGGGGAATATTAATTTTAAGCAGTCTGACCTCAAAACAGGTTAAGCCACAAAAAGCCATGAGACCTGAGTAAAAAAATTCTGAGATTTTACCATGCCACCAATGACAATGTTTCATTAGTCAGAAATCAGACACTAAAATGTGTCAACCTTTCCAAGAGATCAGCTACAGAAACACATTGGCCATCATCAAACATTAAGCACCTCTCCTGAAAGGAACGTTTCAACTGTTTTCGGAAGGAACACAGACATGAGCACCATGTGCACAGCAACACAGGCTGCTTAGTTTGGAAGATGACATGCTTTTTGTCAAAATGGTTGCTTGCTGGCATTGCTTGGGGAACATTTGTATCTTTGGCGATCAGTACTGCTGCTTTGGTTACAGCAGGGTGTACAAACACGTTGTTACAGCATGAAGCAAAGTGGGAATATGACAATGCTCCATGTCTTTAAGACATCCGGGGTCCAAAAACAGGTTGGTCAGCTAACAATGTCCAGCCCTCCCATTGGAAAATAAGATACGCTGGTCACTCCAACCCCATATGACCTGCAACAAAACCCAATCAGGCAATTGCAACCCCACCTGACCCAGCTGCAAGTGTTTTCTTCAAGTACTTCACCTTTTTTAGAAGAAGAAAACTCTCCACCGCGAGCGTTTTACGCGCAGTGCGGCACGGGCTCAACCAGTCTCGCGTTAGCAGATTGCCCAGCTTTTGAAATCATACAATCCAAACGACATCTTTAGCACCAAAAAGTAATGAGCAGGCAATTAACACCATTCACTACGTCGTTTCGACCACTGCTACTCACAATGCTCGCATGATTGCCTATCATCTTCAAGAAATAACCATCTGATAAATATAATATTTCGGCCACAAACAGGGTCATATGATTTTTAACACGCAGACAGCCGACGATTATAGCATGTACTAAAAGGGCACATACGCACCAAATTACGTACATTCGAGCAATCAAGAAATTATCCCAGTTCTTCACATTCGGCTCTCGAGTTGATGTTATCCAAACAGAAGCACAGAGAAAACCCCAACAATGTCGGCGGAAATGAAGCATTCCGGCATTCTTAAAAACGACCAGCCACGGGAACCAAACACGAAGCCAGCCAAACGTTTTTCGGTGCGGGTACATTGACGTCTATTATGCGCAGTGCATCTCATACACGAGTCCGGATAATGTGATTCACACTTATTAGGCACCAAACAACATCGTGACGACATTGTCCGCTTAAACTACAAACACTTGGGTTCAATTAATATGACTACTCCGCTTGCCGTGACATGCTGCAATCATGTGTGCAGAGGGACTGTCGTAGATACCTCTCTAAAGTAGTGCACCTCCTGTACAATTCCAACGAGCAAGGCTTGAAATCGCTCTGACATCTAGAGACATACTCTGCCGAGATCAATGCCCAACAGCCACCCTAAGGAAACGGATCAAGCCTCGGGAAACGAAGACTGAAGCAAGGCCAGCGCTTTCGGTACGGTACATATACGTTGTTAGCGTAGTGCACCTCACACACCGAGTCCGGATAATGCAATTCACACCTTTAGAATGAACACGTCGTGCTGGACAATGTCGACTGGAACTGCAAGACTTCGGTCCGATGAATAGACTCATGCATTGCCGTGAGATGCTGCAATCATGTCGTGCAGAGGGACTGTCGTAGCACCCTCTTAAAGTAGTGCACCTCTTGCACAATTCCAACGAGCAAGGCTTGAAATCGCTCTGACATCAAGAGCATACTCTGCCGAGATATTATGCCAACAGCCACCCTACGGAAACGGATCACGCCCCGGGAAATGAGGACTGAAGCAAGGCCAGCGTTTTCGGATACGGTACATATAATCTATTAGCGTAGTGCCACCTTATACACCGAGTCCGGATCATGCGATTCACACTTATTAGGACCAAACAACTCTTGCTGACGATGTCGGGTGGATATGCCAGACCACGGTCCGATGAATAAGACTCATGCATTGCCCGGTCAGATGTTGCCATCATTGGCGGACAGACGTGCAGTAGCACCCTCTTCAAGTAGTACACCTCTTGTATAATTCCAATTGGCGGACCTAAAAACCACTCGGACATCCAAAGACGTACTCTGCCGACGAATATATATGCCAACAGCCACCCTAAGGACACGGACCAAGCCCAGGGAAACGAAGACTGAAGCAAGGCCAGCGTTTTTTGGTAACGGTACATATAAGTCTGTTAGCGTAGTGCACCTCATACCGAGTCCGGATCATTGCGATTCACACTTATTAGGCACAAACACATCTTGCTGATGATGTCGGTGGATAGGCAAGACTTCGGTCCGATGAATAAGACTCATGCATTGCCGTCAGACGTTGCCATCATTGGCGGACGGACTGCAGTAGCACCCTCTTCAAAGTAGTACACCTCTGTATAATTCCAATTGGCGAGACCTAGAAACCACTCTGACATCCAAAGACGTAACTCTGCCGAGATAATATGCCAACAGCCACGCTAAGCAAACGGACCAAGCCCGGGAAACGAAGACTGAAGCAGGGCCAGCGTTTTCGGTACGGTACATATACGTCTGTTAGCGTAGTGCACCTCACACACGAGTCCGGATCATGCGATTCACACTTATTAGACTAACACATCTTGCTGACGATAGTATAAGGTACGCTGCGCTTATAAATATATATGTACCGTACCGAAAACGTTGGCCTCGCTTCGGTCTTCGGTTTCCGGGGCTTGGTCCGTTCTCTTAGAATTGCTGTTGACACGTTATTTCGGTTACAGTGTGTCTTTGGATGACAAAGCCGTTTCTTAGGTCTCGCCAACGAATTATGCAAGAGGCGCACTACTTTAAGAAGGTGCTACTACAGTCTGTCCGCACATGATGGTGACATCCCACGACAGTGCATGAGTCTATTCATTGAATCAAACCATTGCAGCTCAGCCGACATTGTCGGCACAATGTGTTTATTTCTACTTAGTGTGAATCGCGTTGTAAGGGCTCTTGTTTCAGGTGCACCGCACGACTAAACGTATATGTACCGTACCTAAACCGTTGCCTTTGTTTCGGTCCTCGGTTCCGGGGCTTGGCTTTGTTCCTCAGGGTTCGTGTCGGGATGTTATCTCGGCGGGGTGTGTCTTTGCCTTTCAGAGTGGTTTTTAGGTCTCGCCAATTCGGAATTATACAAGAGGTGTACTACTTTAAGAGGGTGCTACTACAGCCTGTCCGCACATGGTGGCAGCATCTCACGGCAATGCATCAGTCTTATTCATCGGACCGAAGTCTCGCAGTTCCACCGTCATTGTCAGCACGATGTGTTTAATTTCCATAAGTGTGAATCGCCTGATCCGGACTCGTGCATGAGGTGCACTGCGCTAATAGACGCATATGTGCCGTACCGAAAACGCTGGCCTAGCTTCAGTCTTCGGTTCCAAGGCTTGGTCCGTATCCTTAGGATTTTTATTGGCATATTATCTCGGTAGAGAATGTCTTTGGATGCCAGAGCGGTTTTTAGGTCCCGCCAATTGGAATTATACCAGAGGTGTACTACTTGAAGAGGGTGCTACTGCAGTCCGTTCCGCCAATGATGGCAACATCTGACGGCAATGCATGAGTCTTATTCATCGGACCGTGGTCTGGCATATCCACCGACATCGTCAGCAAGATGTGTTTGGTCCTAGTAAGTGTGAATCGCATGATCCGGACTCGTCTGTAAGGTGCACTGCGCTAATAGACGTATATGTACCGTACCGAAAACGCTGGCCTTGCTTCAGTCTTCTTTCCCGGGGCTTGATCCGTTTCCTTAGGGTGGCTGTTGGCATAATATCTCGGCAGAGTATGTCTCTGGATGTCAGAGCGATTTCAAGCCTTGCTCGTTGGAATTGTGCAAGAGGTGCACTACTTTAAGAGGGTTGCTACGACAGTCCCTCTGCACGACATGATCGCAGCATCTCACGGCAATGCATGAGTCTTATTCATCGGACCGAAGTCTTGCAGGTCCATCGACATTGTCAGCACGACGTGTTCAGTTCTAAGGGTGTGAATCGCATTATCCGGACTCGTGTGTGAGGTGCACTACGCTAACAGACGTATATGTACCGTACCGAAAACGATGGCTTGCTTCAGTCTTCGTTTCCCGAGGCTTGATCCGTTTCCATAGGGTGGCTGTTGGCATATTATCTCGGCAGAGTATGTCTCTGGATGTCAGAGCGATTTCAAGCCTTGCTCGTTGGAATTGTACAAGAGGTGCACTACTTTAAGAGGGTACTACGACAGTCCCTCTGCACGACATGATGGCAGCATGTCACGGCAAACGGAGTAGTCATATTAATTGAATCCAAGTGTTGTAGTTTAAGCGACAATGTCGTCACGATGTGTTCGGGTCCTAATAAGTGTGAATCACATTATCCGGACTCGTGTATGAGATGCACTGCGCTAATAGACGTCAATGTACCGCACCGAAAACGTTGGCTTGGCTTCGGTGTTTGGTTCCCGCGGCTTGGTCGGTTTTTTAAGACTGCTGGAAATGCTTCAGTTCCGCCGACATTGTTGGGTTTTTCTCTGTGCTGTCCTGTTTGGAAATATCAATTCGAGACACGAATGTGAAGAACTGGGATACTTTTCTTGATTGCTCGAATGTACGTAATTTGGTGCTTATGTTGCCCTTTTAGTACATGCTACAAATCGTCCGCTGTCTGCGTATTAAAAATCATATGACCTGTTTGTGGCCGAAATTATTATATCATCAGATGGTTATTTCTTGAAGATGATAGGCAATCATGCGAGCATTGTGAGTAGCTGTGGTCGAAACGACGTAGTGTATAATGTTAATTGCCTGCTCTTTATTTTTGGTGCTAAAGATGTCGTTTGGATTGTATGATTTCAAAGTTGGGCAATCCTGCTAACGCGAGCTGGTTGAGCCCGTGCCGCACTGCGCGTTAAAAACGCTCGCGGTGGAGATTTTTCTTCTTCTAAAAAAGGTGAAGTACTTGAAGAATACCGCTTTACGACGCACTCAGCTGCTGAGGCTATATGGCGTCGCCTGCCTCTCACCCTGGCAGGAGGGGCGGGCACCGCGGGGAACCGAACCCCGTACCTCCGGTTTCCCAAACGCGCAGCAGCCAACGCAGACGCGCTATGGCAACAGTGAATGCAAGAAGAAACAGGCTTGTTGTTCGTCATGCTTGCGTAATATTTGTCTGGCAGTTTAGTACCAAATTGGCGGGATTCGCGGCTTAGTGCTACCAAATTTAAGTGTTTTACTGTACCCGCCACTGCCTTGCCTTCGGCCTGCTTTCGAAAATGCATGGCCAAGTAACGATTTGGCTACGATTACGGTATTTTAACAATTTACCGATATTTCATGACAAGTTAAAGTGGTGTGGCGGTGTGGTGTATGCTTCACTAACACTCATGAATCATGCTGGCGAACGCAGTACTTACGTACTTGCGTACCCTTCCTACTACCTTCTAGATTTCCGGAGAAAAAGTCGAATGAAAACTTGAATGGAAAAAGTCGAACGAAAAAGGTTTTGACATAACTAGCCGACAAAGATACAAATGCTAAAAATACACACGCGGAGAGCTTTACGTGTTACATTCTCGGACCAGAGAAGGTCCAAAGGGATTAAAGTCAACAGTGGTAAAGGTTGTCAAAAAACTGCAAATGGCAAAAGTCGACAGGAATAAGACCTGCATGGAAAAAATCGTAAGGGCTGCAACTCAGATTGGAAGCCAATGAAATAGACAAGAATTGTGATGAATACACGTTGATTTGATAAAAATAAACGCTCAGTAAACACACAGTCAAGCTCAGACGGGGGTGCTTACCGCAGTATCGCTCGGCACGGCTATAAAAGGTGACACGTAAAACTCTCCGTAGTCCCCTGTGGTAAAAAGGCGGAGGCAAAATGATCTGTTGAAGTGAACAATATAACCTGGTTGGTGGTGGCAGGGGATGTGCAGCATCGTATGCTTAGCTGGCACCCTGAACGTAAAGCCACCCATGCAAACATTTCGAAATCGATGTATTCGAATAGAGGATTAAGGAAGAGTCCTAATGATTGACACTTAGCATGAAAGGGGATGCTGCCGGCTGCATCCAGATGCGCCCACGGATTCACTGAGTACCGCTACCTTGCATCTATTCGTTCACCGAAAGGCCAGCAAAAGAGCGATGGGACGAGGGTTTCATGCCGGCAGCAGCGTTCCTACATACTGTTCGAAACCGACAGTAGGTGAATGCTTCTGTAGACCATGGAGCGTTTCACAATTGAAGATATTAAAGCCAGCACCAGATATTGTGAAATAATCTTACTTTTGGTTGTTGGTATATTTTTAAGTAACAAGTTACCTCTAGACAACATGACTTCTCTGCTAAGTTTTTAGAGCCTATTGAGAGCCAGACCGCTATATCTGGAAATCGTGCTCATGAACGCCGGATATGACCGATTCGACAATTGCGGTTTTCTTGGAATCGACCGCTGCATGGCTAATGGAATGGTAAAATCTGAATATCGTTATTATGGCGTCATGGAACCCGGTGTGACCTTGAAATGGCACCCCACAAATGGTCTGCACACATTTGCGGGCGTTTAGCTCAGAAACTAAGAGGGTTAGGTCTTAAAACAGTAGCTGTGAACTGCACCGAATGATCTTTAAGATGGCTATTTCAGCTAAAACCCCAACTGTGAGGCGCACCCTTTAAGATCATAGGGTTAAGGTCTGTCTATGGGCGCCTGAATCCGTAGAAGCTATCGATTCTCCCATCCTGTCGCGCTTTTGACATTTCTGCAATTTGTCTTTCAATAAGTAACAATGCTGAGGTCAGCGTTATAATCTACGACACAAATGCTTGCGTCGATTGCACTACCAAATTGATCAAGGACTTATCAAAATTAAGCTTTGTGGTACACTTGTTCTTGGCTTGAGAAACTCATGCAAGATTGGTCGCGTCTATTTGTGTCATAGATTGTACATTTTCTGTGTATCTTTTTAGTGTCGTAGATTGTAGTTCTAAGTTGTACATTTCTTTCTTTCAGAAACTGAATTATACGATTATACGCAAACAACGTACGATTCAAGCCAAAAATTCTGCGAACTTATATTTTGAGAAAAATGACTACTGGTCGCCGCATTCGCTGTCAGTCTGGCTGACGCTAGTGTCCCTGATTGGTGGCCGAGGGACCATCAGCTGTGATATGTGTATGGCAAGTCTTTCGACTTTTTCGACCTTTCGTTTTGGGGAAGATAATATTAGAATCTTTGGCTTAACTGCATCCGTCGTAAATTTTTACCTCTAAAGGATCTGCTTGGAGTTTTGAAATCGTCCTGGTCAAAACCAGACGTCTGACCAAGCTGTCCACATATATCATGTCCCTGACCTACCTGACCCTGACCTATATATCTGACCCAAGCTGTCCACATCAATTACCATGAATCCAGATCACGATTGCCTCGGTAGTCCGTCGCGCAACCGTTCGACGGGACGTGGACGTGGACGGGATAAGGTGACGT